GAGACCAACCTTATCTCACTCTATAAATGACTAACACACGTTACCTAGTTACGGGGTATTGGCGTTCTAGAATTGATTTGTCGTCAACCCTATTAGAAACTCAAACATAAATACACAAAGGTGCACGTGCCCTCCAGTTAGTTCATGTAGAGTTCTAAGATTACTTCCTACACCAGTTTAACATACTTGGTTAGAAGTTGTGAAACAGGAATACATATTCAAAAGAAACAAATACAATATGAACAAAAGCATTGACAAAAAAAAAAAACAATCGCAATAACTACGACCGAGACGAAAATCAAAAATAAGTTGAATTCACATTTCAGCTATCAATTAAATTGTGCAGTTTTGAAATACTTTACGATCGTAAACGATAGTTCAAATGCCAGATTACAATCCAATGTTATATAGCTCCCCAACCATCAATGTTATCTGTGAAAAGTCATTAAGGAAAGACATTTTCTAGATTTACTACATATGCATATACAGGTCACGCGCTCTCCATCGAGCTAAGAAGGTAAGGAGAGATTGGTATCAACAGTGATATTACGTGGCTTTCACTCTACTGATTAGGGCCAAGATAGACATATGTCAAACCATACTTAAGTTGTAAATAAACCAGGAATGGATAGTTTTACCGATCATTACATTCTCGACCATGTACTCTACAAAGTACTTAACCTTATTTGACGAAGATTTTTATAGAATTTGATTAGACGCTTATCGCTAAAACAGGGGTCCGCGTTCTTATCTATTCATGAAAAATCATTCACCGACATTGCTATTCAAGAGATGGTATTGCGATATCCATCTTTTCTATATCAAATGTGAGTTATTGTACTTGTCCCTAGTGAATTCCAAATTGCTTTCAAACCTTCGAAGTCAATTAAAAACCTGGTGAGTACTAAAATGAAGCTAAAATGCTATCAAAAATGGTATTACTATACTAGATATAGATACTGTACTTTTGGTAATTTTCGCGGTGTTGAAATACTTTTTTTTGCGTCTACAAATTAATGCACAATTATTCATACGCAAACAAATAAGTATATTCGACTGTGGCTACAATGTATATAGAATGTTTAAAATTCAGAACCAGCCAATGCGAAATGAATTTATATGTTAAAGTATATCAGAAACTATATTTTTCTGCAATTAGTGCTCTACATACACAGCCGCGTTAATTGGGAACGCGAAAAGCGCTAACATACATACAATGTGTACATATGTACACGGATAATTAAAATACATGAGTTAATATAATATTCCGTAAATCAACTATGCGTTCAGTCAAAGAAGTAGAAATTTACAGGTATAATGTATGCTCTTTTCAGAAAGTAATCAACTCACAGGTAGGTCTGCATTCTATGGTGCTATATACAAATGTATCACATACTAACGACGGCATCAACCTTTTGTAATCCTGAGTTATCTATTCCACGGCAATATAAAAACATATTTCGATTATACCTGCATGTATTCTACTACTTCAAATTGCTAATTAATGAGGTACTGCGTCTTTAGAATCATTGCCTGCTATCTAAATATAGAGTCAGAACACCATTTTTGCAGCATACATTTGTAATCCTCACTAATAATGATTTGAACTAAACGATTAAGGAACATACCATTATTTACAGTTTATATTCACAGTACACATGACCTTACACGTATACTACATGTGCGTATGTATAGCGTGCGCGGTTTCATGTCCAAGTGATTCTAACGTCATTTTATTCCTGACGATTTTTTTTCTGAAGCAATATCGCACTCATGCCTAATACCCCCTCGTACACACATAGTTTGAAATATGCATGTGCCGGAACAATTGTTGGGCTGTGGTAACATACAGTACCACACATCGAGATTTAATTGCCGTTAGATATTCTTTCATCGAGATATTTTTGTTACTAAAATGCGACAGAATTATCCCGTAAAATGCGAGTTTATCGCCCCGTTTGACAGCTTTCCCAGACAAGGGCTCCCCAGATACTCGTATAGTGCTACATTATACTGTGGTCATTTTCCCGTTCGATTGCATTAATTGGTAATTCTTTAGACGAAACGTGGCACGAAATTGTTTTCAACGCGATTTTTTTCATTCGGTTGTTAAATATATAATCGATTCTTTTGGCTTTATAAATGATTTTATAAAGTTTATAAAAAAGGATGACTATAGAGCTAGATTTAGAGAACTAAAAGTACAACGTAATTTTCAAATAAAAATAGAACATCCACCTACATCCACCTGGCTTTTGCATGCCACTTTTTTAAAAGTCCATCAAGAATTGCTACACGAGAAAGAGAGCACTAACAGTAAAATTCTGTTTCATTTGAGCAGCAACACATTTGATTGGTCAATCGAAATATCTGCGATCTATTTCCGCGATATACATGTACAGTCCACACATTTTGATCTGCATAAAGAGCCTGGAAAGTGATTATTAATGACGACAATGACACCGAATGACAACATTACGTCATGAAATTGATCATTTGAATGTTCCCGACGTCACTAATCCACGGCAGGGAGACACAGGTTTTGACGAAAACGGACAAAAACATCATCATTTCTTGTTGAGGTTAGCTGATATGAATTAGCACGGGGATAATCCTACTGTGAATTGGGATTAGTGGATGTATGGCGTCATTATACTTTCACTTAAAACTCAATTTGCGACATTAAAAATAATTGAACCCAAAGTACAGAAGGAGTATCCCCTAATTACATAAACGTCTTATTCTGTAAGCTATATTGTTTATTATTTATAAACATGTCGACAGGTCAGCCTATATTTTTTTTTATCTGATCATTTGATATCTGCCCAGTGCCACTTGTTACATTTGTATATTTAGGTGCCGACATTAAATTGAAAATTTCCCGTAAAGTCTCTTACATATATTGATGCTAAGATATACAACATTCACAAAGTTGCCATGGAAATTCAATAAATTATTCATACAATTTAACAATTATGACATTTTCGTGGTTTAGTATATCACCCTCCACGTAGAGTTATCTCAATTGTCTAAAATATTTGACAATTTTTTTTATAAATGATTGCTGTAGGCAACATTTTAAGTTCGACAGGAAGATTTGCAGTCAAATTGGACAGATGAGGTGAAATATAAAGAATTTACATGTAAATATTTTGTACTGTTATCATAGCTTAAGGGTGTTCCTTGAAAATGACGCAAAAGTAAACTGAGTTAGTAAGTATTTAATTTGTATTCAAAAATTAATTGCACTAACCAGATCAATTGTTAGTGTGATATTCACTGAGATATGATATATGATATATATGTTTTTATTATATTACAGGCGCACGGACATTGTACATTCAATCATGCATTCATTTCATTTTTGTTCAATAATATCCTATTTCTGTCTTGCGTCATATTAGTATCTAAACATAAATTCCATTTGAATATCAAATTTTATGATTTCGTAATGATATGAAATATGAATCACTTCAATAAAAAATATCATCAAACCCACAGGTTGTATTAATAAAACAGACATTACCTACACTGCAATAGATTCCTATCAGCAATAAATATATTCTACAATGAAACTTATTTCAAGTTACATTTCCTTTGGCTATATTTTTACATTTCATACTGGCTACTGCTAGACGATAAAGCGTATTAAATTTCAATTTCAGTCAACAGCATGCATTCAATGATTTGATCGATTGAAATAAACACAACCTTACGTGCAAGTAAAACGAGATAGATGCATATTGTACATGTAAACTTAAAGTACGATGTATCTAAAATATCCATTCCTAACTGAAATACCGTCACAGCAATAGCAACATATACAGAGTATGGAGAGAAACTGCCCTGTGGAATGCACTATTACATATATGTAACTCATGATTAACACATTGTTGTTGTGTAACGGACATTTTAATCGTCATATGCATACATTTCATATGCATATGCATGCACCACGTTTTGTTATTGATCTTTTTGGTTGTTCGTGACATTCAAAGTTGGCTTCCCTTTGTTTTGCTTTGTTTTGAAGTTCAAAAACTTTTGTTAATATTTATCAAATACATAACACGTATGAAATTTAAGGTTTTGAACATTAAACTATTCTTTCGTAGTCCAACAATTTCATCAAAGTATCTTGGAAATACGAGAAATTGAAGATATGTTAAGCAGACAGATAAAGAGATACTTTAGACGCTATCGCACGACTTCACAGATATTTTATCTATTAAAACCCAATGTCACCGTATTATACTAGTATCCTATTTCTGTGAAATTGTAATAATTTTGTGTATATCAAAACAACGATTTTTAGAGATATGAAGATCGAGATATTCTGAGACAACTGTTGTGGCTCATTCCCCGAATACCAACTCTGGAAAATTCAAAGGAAGGTGCTTATATAGGAAATCCTTTGAAGTTTAGTTATAGCCTGTTTCAACTAAGAATGTCAACTCATTTTGTAGATATGATACTAAAGTTAATAATAAAATGGATAGAAAGTTTTTATTCATACATATAATAACTGTAATACACATTTAATACAGCACTAAGTAATAGAAAATAATCATTAAATATTGATATTTACATTATATGAAAAAAAATAGCATTACATTATATGAAAAATAAAATTCCTTAATACAAGCCACATTGATACTAATGTCAGCAATAAAATAAAGTTTCTATTCATACATATAACAGTAATACACATTTAATACAGCACTAAAGGATAATTATTAAACATGAATATAAACAGTAAACCACTAAATGAAGCTGAAGTTTCTAGCACAAATCACATTCTCTATATATATCACTTAAGTCTCTAGCACAAAACACTCTATCCCAGATTCAGAAGCTGTGATGCTGAGTCGGCGTAGGTCGTCAGGTCGATAGTTCCAGTCTGATAACGGTCTTTCAGGGTGTCCAGGCGTCTGTCGATGTTGGCGTATCTCTTCTTTCGGGGTTAAGTAGTGCCTCCTGCATCTCTCTGGATCCGGCTGATGTCATTCACGTTCTGTATGTCCTTTAACGTCTGGATGTTGGTGTAGTTGATGGGGTGGGCATGCAGTACTCTTTTCTTCAGTTTTCCGTGCCAAGCTTCTAGATTGTTGGTAGTCCGAGGTCCTTCTGTTGAGAAGTGGTTCCAGGTTGGTCGGTCTCCTTCTACCCATTGCTCTGTGACGTAGCTGTGAAAAGCAGCACGGAATGTGGTATGTCAGCATCATCAGCATCTTCTATGCGGTCTAAGGGGATGAGTGGAAGAACAGCAGCTCGGCGGACAAGTAGTTTGACGTCATCGTTCTCACGGTACAGTGTCTGGAGTCCGGTTGACTTGGCCTTTCGTCAAATACATTGAGTGTAATGGAAAAAACAGCCTTTTATGTTGATTCCAGGGACGACACTGCGGATGGCGTTGTGTGCTGCTACCTCAAAATCGACGAAGGCTGTTGTGGGTCGGAATGGAATCTGGAAGTTTGCCATGTGCTCCTGTAGTAGCGTGAAGAAACGGTTGTAGATAGCCTGGCTCTTTCCGGGAAGTAGTGCATATGCAACTGGGGTCATGATGCCTTCAATCTGTACGTGAATGCTGTAAATCTGGTAAAATATAGTAGGACAGGTGTAGAAGGTGCCGTCACTGAAGATTACATCGGAGGCTGCAAGTTCGGCCAGGTTCTCTGATGTAGCGAATGCAATCATTCTGTTGTTCTGTTCACCGTCGTCGAAGAGGAGAAATGGTTCGCCTGTAGATGTACAAAGCGAAATATGATAATTCTCCAAAGTGTGCTGCTGTTTTATACATTACCCATTTAACAGCTTGGGATCGGAACTCTAAATATTATTGATTCTTTTGCAATTATTAGCAGCTTAGTTATCAGAAGAACAGCTTTGGATCGGAACTCTAACTATTTTGCAATTATTGGCAGCTATTGATTATCTGATTAGTTATCAGAAGTTGATTTACCTGTGCAATTTACCTGTACACTTTACTGCAATAGACTATAACTCACTATCATCACAACTGACCACCTATGTAAACATGTGATTTTAAGCAGAGTTGGTATTCGGGGAAGACCCCACTGTGTAAATCTGAAATTATCTAACGTCCAGTTGTGTTTTCATAACACTCATACGGTGTCATATATCGGCTCTCTAATTCCGGCACAGGGCGCCAGGTAAAACTCCGGTCCCTCATCATAATGTTCTGTACCTGTTCTGTTACCTGGTAGCCACAAACCATGCTTGACAGTCTAACGCAAGTCTTCAGCAAGATTGATCAACTAATTGTACCGAATCGCACATTTGTGCGGAGAGAAGCGCACAACGGGGCGAACGATTGTTTAATCGCTTATGTGGACGATGTGCGAACGATATATGCACGACGAGCACACGCTATTTTTGGTTCGTTGTTCGGTTACACAACTATAGTATGCACTATATTTCATTGTTAAATTTTCTTTTGTAGTTCGGTTTTTTTATTTTTAAAACTTATTGAGGAAATGTATTTTTTTTTTCTTTTTCTTTTCTAAAACTGGATTTAAATGGGATTGTCATTTGCAGCTATTCACAAAGGTATGAGTCTAATAACACAAAAAAAACAGAATCCCGGTAAAATTGCGGTCATTCCGGTTCTGACATTTACGAATTTTCTTTGTGATTACCACTCGCTATAAGTAAATTACTGGATATTAAAGGACTTCTGTATATAGTGCGTATTCTGAATAAAGTAAAATGTCAATTGGATTTCTCCAAATTTAATTTTAGATTTCTATGAAATCGATATATGACTTAATAATAAATTGAAATGATTGAAATATATAAGTTAAATCCAATTTTAAGAAATATTGAAACTTATTTCAAAGTTATATGATGAAGTCAATAAAATGTTCATTATCAGAAAAGGGTCTTTTATAATTAAGCTTTCATTCAGATTCTAGAAGCGTTCTGGATTGGCAATAAATCAAATATGCATTACAATCCGTTTCACTGGGTGCATCTGTATAGCGCGATAACAATTCGCTTCATTTGTGTTTCAAATATGATAAAGTTGTCTCGGATTTGTGAAATATTATCTAAGTATAACCCCAAAACATATGTTTCGCACTGACATGTTACATGAGCATTCGCCTCAAAATAAACCTCATTCAGTCATGATTTTTTCAGTCTGAAAATATGATACAATGGCTTCTCATTAATCGCAGCTCCGACAATGCAGCATGTGTCGGACATGTCATTCGAATTAATGTAATTTCACTATATAACCTAATTTTATATCTTTAAGATGTAGAAAATGAAGACAATCCATTCATAAGTTTCTGCTTCCACCTGACGTAAACTCAAGAATGTTACATACCAATAAACAAAAATGTTCTTACCTTTTTCTTACACTCTAAAATGTGACGTCATCTTAATCGTAAATATGACGTCATTCATGATCTATATTGTGATATTACGCTGGCTGTCAATGCTAGCAGACAACACTTTAGATGTGAAATTACAATTCAAGACGTTACATTATGTAAGATGATATACATTTATTTTATTAATAATCATTAGCAAGACCTGGCTATATAATCATGAAATAGGTAATTACGTGTCCGATGATAAGTATCTAGCACCTTTTTTCGAACTTATCTGTTTATCAAACAGATCTGATGGCAACCGTCGATAACATCTGCACATACGTATCTTAATAATTACTTCAACTCAAAGCCCTTTGGGAGGGACGTCCCGATCTCTTAAATGCACAAGCACTGATTAACTGTTTACTATCAGTTGTTTTCGATATATGAAAAAACATATTTTTAATAGTATTGCTCATACTGTAACCGTTTACGCACCTGGTATAGTTACAATCCGTAGGACATGTGGATTGGCAATGTGAACACAAGTCAATGACGTCATAGATATACTGTTTATACTTGTTGCGAGATCAAATTGCTGTAATTATCTTTGTACGAACACGTCTTCCGACCGCACAAACGTCACATGCATACACATGTCTGTTGTTTACGTGATTATATATTAGATTTATTGACAAGTGTTTCGTCATTGTAAATATAATTGGATAGAATCCAGCAAATAACATTGTATAGAAGGCATTATAAATTACAGTACATGTACACTTACTTCTTCCCATATTACCATGGATGTAACATTGTACATTCAAAATTATTTAATGATCATCGTATAACTCACAGTTTATTTTGACAATTAATTTAATAACAATTTTACTTCAAATATATCATAACACAGTAGAGAATTACTAAAGCAGAGAAAATGGTAACAAATCTGGTGGTTAACCAGCAAAATTAACAGCAAATCAATTAATTATTTCTCTCACTTCCCTGTGTGTAAGATAGAGCTGTCCAAGGTAAGAAAGGGATGTAGGAATAATAGAATCTTTCACCCCCTTGGAGGTGAGACAGGGTAATCTCAACCCGAGGGGTAAGACTCATAAGTTGTCACACGAGGCTTGCCGAGTGTTTGACAGCTTAAGAATCTTACACCGAGGGTTGAGATCACCCTGCCTCACTCCCAAGAGGTTGAATGATTATTTTTCTCTTAACCTATTTACCCTCTTATGTATTTTATATAGACGTTACATCAATGCAAGACAATGTTGCTGTGTTGCGGCTGAATTGTCGACGTGACGTCAGTGTATTGTTGCCGTGACGTCATGGTATTGTTGCTATGACGTCATACAATTGTTGAGAACGTGCAAAGAACACGTGTAGCTTGTCTCAACCCTAGGGTGAGATAAGAAAATCTCACACCGGTAAAATGGTGGATATCCCTGTCCATGGTAAGAGAAATGTCTATCTTAAACCCCATTTCACGTGACGTAACGTCACAATGGCTTAACAAAGACGTGAGGTCACGATTTGGAACTCTCCGATGCCACAATGAAGAAAAGGCGACGTGATGAAATTAAAACTTTTTACGATATATTTACCGTACACATTAGATGATGTGATTATTTTTTTCTGCGCAAATATTGTTTGCAAATATAGGATATGCTTAATCTGGCTGGCTAATGCGTTTTCGTGTAAAACGCTCAGCGGGAAAAATTGATAATTTCAAAACGGTGGCCAGTCCAAACACATTTTCATGGTTTCTGAGCTTATTCTGGTGGTTGGAATGAGAGAAAAATACTCCTTCAAACCAAAGGGTATAGAATAGGAAATTCCACCCTCGGGATTTTCAAATTTGGCAAAACCCTCGACAAAGCCTAGGATTTTACCAAATTTGAAAAAAAAAACTCTGATGGAATTTCCCTATCCTACACCTCTGCATGAAAGAGTCTTATAATCTTAAAGTTCTGCCTTGGTTACTAGACCCGAAATCCGCGAAATTGACATTTTTTCTCGAAACCCTCTAAAAGTGAACCGCGAAAATAGTCTTTCATACTGTACACAACGTCGATATCCTACAACACATAAGTACGGAACAGGCCTGGGTTATGTATTTCCGACGGAATATTGTGATAGAAAATTAATGGTCTGTTGATGTATGGTTTTAATAAATATGATATCTTTTATAATCTATTGATAAGGTGAACATGAGCGTGTTAACTTTACGTTATTGTGAAATGCTGTTTACAAGTGCGCATCGTGATTTCGAAGAGACCTCGCGTGTGAGATAAAAGCCTCTTCATCCACTGATGTGCAAAGCTGGTCAACCGTTTCTAACTCCACAGAAGGAACAATAACATCGCAGCAGAGACATCACAGATTGCTACGAGAACCTGTCTTCTGGACACGACACACATCTTATCTGCACTCGCTATTCGCAACGGGTTGTGTACTGATGGAGCTAGATTGGAATGTTAGGGAAGATGTATGTCTAATGTTCATGTTTCGATTTCGAAACGTGAGTGATGCTAGCTGACTTCAACCAATGGATTCGGCATCTGGGAGTACAGTTGAATACCAATCTTACTGCAAAAATGTAGTTATGCATTATATTTTTCTACCGACATTGCATTAGCTTTAAAAATTCATTCTAATAAAGAAGTCCTTACATTACGGCACTCCTGTGGAAAAACAAAATGAAATAAAATTAAAAGAACTCAGCCACGGTGCTGTAACGGAGCCAGACATGGCTTTAGTATTGTTTAATTTGAACGAAGATAGGCAAATTGCTAGGGGTAGCGGTGTGGGTGGGTATTGGGGGATACGGGCTTAGGGATACAGTTTATAATGATAAACTCGACAATAGGAGTTTCTTATGTTTGAAAGAATAGCAGGAGCAATATTATCATAAAACGCATGTTAAGAACCACTTACTTAAAACGTAATTTCATCAACGAAATATTTCATTGTAAAAGAAAGGTGAGTAAGTGTTCGTCATTTGTGTCCCAAACATATTTAATTTACACTGACTTGGCAACGGAAAAAGAAAAAAAGAAAAAAGACTTTGCAATAAGCGGACATATATTATAAATAAGTAAAGGGGGAATTTTTCGATATAGAAATTCTCTTCTGATTTTGAAATTGTGTCGGTTTAAAACTAACTTTCACTGTATATTTAACATATTTGGATATTCCGGTATTCTCATGCAGCGGAATAGTTAGCTTAAATCATATTTCATTCAGGTCGGTGAGACATGTGCAATTACAAGGACATTTGATTGAGATAATAATGAAATAAAGATTGAATGATAGAGCTAGATATAACAGAATGTTATTTGCCTGTAAATCTTTTAATTGAGTTTATGAGTTTTTGAGTCGCTACAAGCATTATATATATATATACATTTGATCATACGAAAATACATCACCATAAAGTAGTGAAACAACACTTAATTGGTTAGGAGTCGAATACAAGTCCCTTTGTCGTGATTCATTATGATTAATACAGAACAACAAATAGTTAAATTTGTAAAAAAAATCCAATTATTCATTAGAGATTTTCTACAAGATATCTTTCGAAAAAAAAGACATTTCAAAGAATTGCATCCGATGGGGGCGGATTGGATTTATACAGGAAGGAAGAGAAACAGTTTTTAGACATTAGTATTTCAGCAACTCCAGCAATAATGAGAAGTGACATGTTAAAGGAGGGGGTAAGGAGGACGTACGTTATACGTTATTTTATTTATTCATTTGTATATTTCTTTTTCTATTTATTTTAATACCCAGTATATCAATGTACAAACTATATCAACGTTCTATAAACTTATATTAAAACGGAAGTGTGCAAAAATTGCGATTTTGATGTTTTCATTTTTTATTTTAT